TAAGGGATGAGATATGAAGAGAGGACTACCTCTTAAATACAGGCAAATTGAAGACTAATATTACATAATAGTAGGTAAAATAGAAGGAGAAAAAAAATCCATACTCTTGAATTTCTTGGGTCCTTTGTAAAATCCTTTTACCTTGACTTTATGCATACTGTACCATAAATAGATCTTCAGATATATGCTACTATCAGTAACAATTCCAAAGGCAAGTTTCTTCAGAAAATTCAAAATGCAGTATAAAATCTTAACAAGCAGCTTTCTGAAGCACTGTAGTGCCATCAGATGTAAGCAAGTTCACACACACACACACACACACACACACACACACAGAATGTGAGTCAGGAAGACCTTACGATCCTTCCTATAAATTGACTGTTTGGTCTTTCCCTTTTCATAGCACCGGTGATATAATCTTCTAAGGCTGCACAGGTCCCATGTTATTATAATAAGACAATAACACTCTTTCCTATCCACATTAAGTCCTACTCTCACATTTTCTAATTTGCATCAAAATTTGACATATTTGTCATTTAGACTTCTTTTGTTTGTCTTAAATGAAAGATATTAGAGGCCAGGCCCAGTGGCCTAGTGGTTAAGTTCAGCACTCTGCACTTCAGGGGCCTAGGAAGTTCCCTACATCACTTGTCTTTCAGTGGCCATGGTGTGGCAGCAGCTCATATACAAAAAGAGGAAGATTGGCAACAGAAGTTAGCTCAGGGCAAATCTTCTTGAGCAAAAAAAACAAAGGAATAAAATCCCAAATCCAAAAAAGATTTTCTTTTAAATCTTTAAATGAAAGACATTAAGATAGTAAATGCAATGAAAAATATGCAATATAATAGAAGCAAATACAAAAGAGGCAAATAGAAAACAGAACTTTTACAAAAATAAGTTTGACTTGATTTTTTGGTGATATTTCTTTATCTTCCCTTTCATGTCTTTATTTCATAACAACAGAACAACTAATTACATAAATACACTAAACATTCTTTGCTTTCTCCTGGCTCACTATTTTTATGATGTCATTTTTTAAAAAAACAACATATTCAAAAGCTTCCTACCTCTAAGGACCAAGGAAAGATTCAAGGAGCCCCCAGGACTATCTAAAGGATGTAGGATGAGAACTCACACTCAGTAGGTCAGTGTTTTACCCTCGCCCCTTTTGAGATTCTGAGCAGTATCAGAAAGTTATCACTGGAACTAAGAACCACAACCTCTGCACTTCTTTCCTCCACGTACCATGGAACCAATCTATTGCTTATTTGGGTAGGGGTCTCTGGGCTTCCATTAGGTAACCATGAAATAAATATGGATCCCTTTTATAATAATTTCTTATTGGAATCTGCATGATATGCTGGAATGAGTACTGTCCTGGGTGGGAGTCATGAGACTTGGAAACAAGTTCTGAGCCTTTAAGTGACCAAGGGCAAGCATATCTTTTAAAGGAAAAAAAAGCTCAATTGAGTCAGTCATTCTCAATATGAGGTTAGGGGAAAGCTGATTCTAATAAAGAAGGTTTACCAACTACTCCTCATCCTGGAGATTATGATACGTTAACTCCCTCTACTTCCTCCCAGGGTGGATTTGTCCCAGGTCTTCTGATTGAAAATCACCTCTAGAATAAACCACTATTCATAAGAGGAGTGTACTTTATCTTTGAAGATGGACGTGGTGAAGAAAAAAAGGTCAAGAACCAATTGACTGGATGATCTCTAAGGTAGAGATTGTAATGAAAACAGTATAGGCAAGAAGCCTGGATGATGGTGCTGGCTTTACTGTGACCAGTTACTAACTTTGGGAAGGCATTTGTCCTCATCTTCCTTTTCTATAAAACCAGGTGTTTAAACTATGTGTTCTCTAAGATCCTTCCTAATTCTAAAGCTTAATGCATTTATTAAAAAGATAGGGCAGTGTAGATGGATGGGTTAGAAATTTTCTTTGTGGAACTGATGATCTTAGGCTTTCTCTCCCAGAATCTCCTGTTCTGCTTCTATGTGGTTTGGCTGCTCTCTTTGTCTGGTACAGCTACCTTCCCAGGATTCCCCTTTATGTAGGGATTCCATCCTGGGGATGCCATTCTTGTCTCTTCTATTTCCTATATTCCATGTCTTCCTTTTTTTTTTGGTCTATTCCCTTACTTTGGTAGAAAACTCTGGAATAAGTACTGTAAGAAAGGGTATGTGAGAGGTAAACTTTTTTGAGACTTTGAATGTCTGAAAATGCCTTTGAATAAAGGCATACTTTCACATTTGGTTGACAAAATTTTGGTTGGATATATCTTTCTAACTTGGATACAATTTTTCTCCAAAAATTTGAAAGTGTTATCCACATCTACTAGCTTCCAGTATTGCTTTACAGAAGTACAAAGCTATTCTGACTCCTGATCCTTTACCTGTTTTATCCTTGACTCTGGAAGTTTGGATTATATTCTTCCTGTTTCCTATGAGACAAAGTTTCAAGTTTTTAACACTGTGCTTGGTACTTGTTGAAACTTTTCATCTGGGAACTAACGTCCTTCAGTTCTTGGAAATTTTTTGTTTTCTCTTTCTGAGACTCACTTGAATTAAATATTTCCTAGACTGACCCTTCAATTGTCTTTTATCTTTTTCCTCCCATTTTGCTCTTCTTCTTAGATTTCTTCAACTTTATCTTCCATCTCTATCAAGTTTTTCAGGTCTGCTTCTCTTTTAATTTCCCAAAGTTCTTTTGTTGTTTTTTTATTTTTTATAGTATCTTATTCACGTTTCCTGGGGGGTATACCTCATCTTTCTATGAAACTGGTTATTAATGATTTCTGTTAAGTTTTCTTTTCCCTGCATAGACTCTGTCCTTCAAGGTGGTTTTTTTTTGTTTGTTAGTTTTGGTATCCATATTCATGTAAAAGTCTTTCCTCAGAAATTTAGTGCTCTTTAGTTGTCTAAAAAGCTAACTGGGAGCTTTGAGCAAGCAAAGCTTAGAAATCTGGACTTTACTGGTAATCTGGCTAGGCCAGGTGAATCTTCAAATCTTCTGCCTGAGTGATATATGCCTGAGAACCAAACAGGTGAAGATGGCTGGAAGGTTCTCACCATTCTGTATCTAACCTTTTACTATTTTCATCTGTGTTTGGAATAACTCAGTTTAAAGACCCTTTGTCTTACCCTGTCTAGAAAATAGACCTACAGTAGTCTGAGGTGACGAAAGGAAGCCATCTGTCTTCACAGAGTAGGGGAAGGGAATTAAGCATATAATTACTTCAGATTTTTAACCAATCCCTTTGTTTTTAGCCTTACATACATCCTCACTTACAGAGGTAACTAAGAACACTCATTATCAAGTCTTTAGAGAGTTTTAAAGTGTATATCAGGCTACTTCTCAGCTTTCCACATTGTTAAAGGATTAAGCTTTCTTAAATGTGCAGTCTGTTATCACTAACCCATCTGCTTTTTAGTAAAATGTTGTCACTACTTCTTCCTATCCCATTTTCTTTGTCTTTGTGGATTTATGTCTTAAAAAAAATTCTTCTATCATTTCAGTAGGTTTCAGTAGGGAGCAAAATTAAGCATGTGTATTCAAGCAGTTATCTTTACCCTGAAGCTATTTATACTCATATGTAATGTAACTCTTACTTGACCTCTTTGGGACTCCCCTCTCTCTTTTGCCTTCTCAGGTTATCCTAGTACCCTGGCAATTGACTTCTATATTTACCTTGATTGGATAGAATATGGCAAACCTAAAATTCTTTTTAAGTGTTTATTGTTCTCTGATGACCTAAAATAAGTTTAACCTTTTTTGCATCTTTCTCACCCCATGCCTAAACTCATGGTCAAATAAGCTGCATTTTGCTTCTGTTTGACATCTACCGTATAGCATTTTGTAGTTTACAAAGTATTTTCACAGACAGCATATCACATTTTATCCCTAAAAACCTCACTGCAAGGATAGGCCATTTTATACACAAGATGGGAAAGAAATGGTTAAATAGTAGGTGTGCAATCTATTCTCTCTTTGAGGGGAGAGAAGGATGCCCCCAGGAAAGAAAGAAGGTAAGTTGGTCAAATCTCTTTGTAAACATGCTAATCAGAGACCTCCTGGAAACAAATTAATGGTATTTGCTAGCTAAAGAATCCCTATTTTGGGGGTTGGGGGTAGAAAGTGAGGCTTGAATAACAGAAATCTGCTTTCTCACAATTCTGAAAGCTAGAAGTCCGTGATCAAGCTGCTGGCAAGAGAATCCTTGTTTATAAGGATTGGCAAGAGACTGCTTATAGCAGGATATGCCTGGATCATCTAAGATTGTTTATGGTAAATAGTCCTGGAATCTATGGGAATGCTCCCTGGAAAATGCAACTATCCAGAGATACAGTTGAGATGTTTCATGACTAAAATGACTTTCTTTTGTCTAAGTAATGTAGAAACCTCTCATGCTAATCTTGTCTAGAGTGGGTTCTGAAGCAGAAAGAAAATACCTGGGGAGCTGTACAGGCTGTCCCAGAACTTTTGCTGTTTTGCCCACACCTTGAAATTATCATTTATACGCTTGAAATTATTATTAAAGCTTCAGACTGGCTAAGATCTCTGATTCAAATTACTGTGATTTGACAATCCCATCCCTTGTGTTATCCCACAAGGAAATTGAGGTTAAGAGCGGTTAAGTGCCGCAAATCACATGCCAAAAAATGGCCAAATAGGGCTAGAAACCCAGTCTTAAATCAGACCCTTTGTACCATGTGACAATCCTAGTGTGATGGAACAACAAGAACAGCAATGACAAGACGACCTGGGTTGTGGAATCGGAAATAGACTTGCCTCCTGGTTCTATCACTGATCAGCTGTTTGATTTTGGGCAAATTACAACATTCAAAGCCTACTCCTTACTTACGTATTACTTCTTACATAAAATACAAAAGATATCTTAACGATAAATACAATAGAACAATCGATAAATATGACATAATATAGCAAAACATTTAGAAACATTTTTAAAGGATGGAAGGAAAAAAAGTATTGCTTACTTTTTTCTTGTAATGCCTGCAATTTATTCAGTTCTTCATTCTCTTCATCACTCTCTTCACTGCTTGTGCTGCTGACATCCAAAACTATGTCCCTTTTTGGGTCTACTCGGAGAAAATTGCGGCATTCAAAAGTCAGGTGACCAGCTAAGCAGAACAAACAAACAAAAAATGTAAATGACAAAACGATAGATACATTATATATTTTTTTGTTTTGTTGCCTCATAGTAAACAACAAGTTACAATTTTGATATTATAATGTTTAGTTTTAACTTTTATTCAGTGGGCGGTAGTTTGCTTTCCCTGAATGCAACACTCAGACAGAAAACTTTTTCCTTTCCTCATCAGGGCTTCTAATTCAATAAAATTCATTTTGGGCTACTTCTTATGGATTTCAGGTATTGAATTATTATATATTCCCTTTCCTATGCACTAAGGAAAACATTGTCATACTTAAGATTTTATATTTAACTCCTTTCCCACACCTTTTCTTTCTCAGCTTGACTACCATACTCATGCAACTACACAGCTTTCATCTAACTGAAGGAACCATAATAACATAACTGAATGTGCTCTTCTAAAGAGCACCTAAAAATTTAATTCTGACATCATTCACCCCCTGAAGATTCTCCCTGTAAGAAAACTACAATTGTCTATATGTCACATGATATTAACTTTTTTAAAAAATCAAATATTACAAACACCAGAAGAGTACAAGAAGTAATATAACTAATACCCAAGTGCCTATCACCTACATGTTAACATTTTGTCATATTCACTTACAATTTTTCTAAGAGAAACGCTTGCACATGTGTGCACACACAAAGTTGGAGAGCTTGTACCACCCTCTGGAACGCTGCCCCAATCCCATTCCCTTCTTTCTGTCTTCAGAAGTTGGTACACTGAAGTGGGTTTCTATCTTTGCCAAACAGCAGATTGTATTATGTTTTTAACATAAGCTCAATTATACTTACCTATCATTCTGCAACTTGTTTCTGCCACTCAATATTATGTTTTGTGATTTACCGATAATAACATAAGTAGGTGTAATTAACTCTTTTTATCTGAGGAATAATGTTCCATTGTATAAAAATAATATTTATTTGTCCTTTCTACTATCAACATAATCTTAGGTTGCTCCCAGTATTTTGCTATTATAAATAATGTTGAAATGAGTAGCAGTACATATCTCTTTGTGCACACATGCCATGGTTTCTCTAAGGCAGCAGCTTTTAAATTTTTTTGACTATGACTGACTGATGGTAAAAAATAACAATATAACCCGTGTACTCGTCCACACATTCATATACATATACACACTAACACATAAAAATTGAAACAAAAGTTACATGAAGCATTATTACATTTGATATTCAAAAAAATCAATGCTGATGGTGACCACATGATTGATTTCACAACCCACAAATGATTCACCATCACTCTGTGGTAGAGTTTATTTCTAGCTCTCTCTTACTCCAAGAGTGAAGTCCTTTGGAAGCTCTAGATTTACACAAGAGCATCTCCTATTAGAGGTCTAATCCTGGACAGGGCCTTGGGTCTTGCTTTTATCCCTGCACCCTGCAATCCATGAAAATAGAAGTTGAAGCACCCTGGGATCAGCAAATACCCTCAAGACTTACCTCTTAGAATTTCCTGTGGTTGTTGGCCTCTGAATATTCTTTCTTTATTTTCTTCCTAGCACACTAATGTAGCTAAAATATGTACTGCACATTTGATACAAGTTTCTTAGTTGTTTACTGGAGGGTCCAGGCTGCCACATTGCTGGAAACAAGTTTCCCTTGTTGTGATTTCTTTCCAACTGAACCATTCAGAAGTGTTCTTTTTAGTTTCCAAATATATGGGGTTTTCAGTCCATGCCTTCATTGATTTTTAAATTTATTAAACTGTTATAAGAGAATGGGGTCTGTATGATATCAGTTCTTTGTTATTTGCTGAGATTCTTTTGTGTCCTATCAAGTAGTAAATTTCGGAAAAGATTTGGTATGTATTGTAAAAGAATATTTATCACTATTTGTTGAAAAGGGTTCTATGTCTTCTTGTTGTTCAAATCTTCTCCATATTATTTTTTTGTCTAATAACTTACAATACCGCAATTTTAAATACCTCTGTCCTCATAGATTTGTCAATTTACCCTTGTAATACAGTTTTTGTTATATACATTTTGAGATCATATTAGTCAGCACAGCCAAGATCATTGTCTTATCTTCTTGGATGACTGTTCTTGAATCTCTATCGCTGGTACTGCCCTTGCCTCAAACGTCTGATATTAGAAACGCTCTACTAATTCTCTTTTGATTATTGTTAGTTGAATCATATGAAGTTGCCATTTTTGTGTGTAACACAGCTGAATATCAACAAAATTCAACCTAACATTTATCTGTTCTTTTTTCTTCCATCCCTTTATTTTGAAAATTTCTATGTAACTTTTAGTTTTCTATGTAGTTTTATTAACAAAGACATGTAGCTGGACTTAAGTTTATTTATGTAATTTGAGACCAGACCAATTTTTAATGTTAATTTCTTAGCTTGGAAAAGTAGTTCCTGCCTCACTGGAGGCAGTGTGTAAATTCACTCCTCATACTTACACATGGTGTAAGCTTGGGTTGCCAATTCTGGATCATTCTTTTTCTTCAAATTATTATTTTATAGGAATTCAAACAAATACTTAACTTTCTTGCCACTTTCCCTGGACAGTGAACGGAAGTCTTCTAATCTCTGCTTCACAGCTTGTTGAGCAGTCTGGCTTCATACAAGAGCCTCCGCTTCAGCCGTGCTGCCACTGCAAGGAGTCTAGGGCCTCAGAGCACACCCCATGGAGGTCTACCCAGTAGGCCTGCGTACCTGACTGTTTTCAGGTATCATTCCCTGCTCTGCTTTTAAGCTCCTTTTCACTTCCAGCACCTGGGGATTGCCTTTTCATTCTTTTGCGCTGGGTTATTTTTGTTGTTGTTGTTTCTCTATTTTTCTCTGGCATCTCTTGGGTTTGGAGCAGAAGGGAGGCCTTTCTATGTCGGTTCAGTTTGCCATTTTGATCAGAACTCCTGATGATACAATTTTTCCTTTAGATAAGCTAGCTTTGCACCCAAAGACCTCATATTACAATGAATATTTAAAATAAATAAAATATTTAAATAATAACCACACTGGCAGCAGGTTCTGTCTCACATCAATTTTAGCTTTGCTTTAATGAAACTGATCCTAAACTGATAAGAAAAGTTATTCATGAAGCTACAAAAAATTTCCTATTTTTTTCTCTATTGGAGAATAAATGAGCAAACTTAGAGAATAACTCTATTCCAAATATTTTCTAAACAGACTCTAAGTAGATAATGAGGAGAAAATTCTTAGGTGACCAGAAACAAACTTTTGACGACAGACATGTAAAGACATTTAAAGTCATAACACTTAGGAGCTGATTATAAAAAGTGATGTGGCTTTTTCAGAAATGGAAAAACCAATCCTCCAATTCATATGGAAATGCAATGTGCTCCAAGTAGTGAAAACAATCTTGAAAAAGAACAAAGGTAGAAGACTCACACTTCCTGATTTCAAAACTTACCATAAAGCTGTAGTAATCAAAACAGGGTGGTGTTGTCACATGGAAAGACATATAGACCAATGGAACAGAGCTGAGAGACCAGAAATAAACCCGTACACATATATAGATGGCCAACTGACTTTGGACAAGAATGTCGAGTCCATTTAATAGGTAAAGAATATTCTCTTCAACAGGTGGTGCTGGGACAACTGGATTTCCATATGTAAAAGAATGAAGTTGGACCCCTCACCTCAAAACATATGCAAAAACTGACTCAAAATGGATCAATGACCATAAAAATATAAGAGCAAAACCATAAAACTCTTAGAAGAAAGCATAAGGCTAAATCATCATGACCTTGGATTGGCAATGGATTCTTAGATATACCAATAGCACAAACAATAAAAGAAAAAATCAATAAAATGGACTTCATCAAAATTTAACTTTTGTGCAAAGAAATTATTATGAAAACTAAAAGACAATCTACAGAGTGGGAGAAAATATTTGCAAATCATATATCTGATAGGATTTAATATCCAGTATATATACAACTCCTACAAGAACAAAAAGACAACTCAATTAGAGAAATGCAAAGGACTTGAATAGGTATTTCTCCAAAGAAGATATACAAATGGACAATAAGACCAAAGATGCTGAACATCATTAGCCATTAGGGAAATGCAAATCAAAACCACAATGAGAGTGACATCAGCAACACGGTGGATGAGCGGTTTTGTTTATCTCTCCCCCTTCAAGCTACAACTAAATGGACATTCATTGGTCAACAGAGGCTACTCACACAGCACCTAAGAATGCCTGAGAGACTTGCACTGCTATACATTAGAAGGTAGATGGCCTACCCACGGGGAAGAGGTGGACATAGGTGAAAACTCTCCGGGCCCCAGACAGTCCAGTACCCACAAGTGACTCCCCCAGCTGGAGTGCTCATAGAACCACCGTGGCCCTGAGGGTGGGCAGGTGCCTTGGCACGACTGTGGAAACAGGTGACTACAGCCCTAAGTCCCCTGTGACTGCTCTTTGGACCGGTGGGAAAATCCAGTCGCATTGCAGCCCCAGGGAGTGACCTGGGCTCAGACTTGGTAGGGAGGCCCCGGCCACCAAGTACAAAGGTTGGCGTGACCTAGGAGCAGATGCAGCACGGCTCGGCAAGCAAACCACTGGCTGCATTAAACATCCACAGCTCTGCTGCGGCACTGAGGGGGCAAGTGAGATCCAGCGGGACGGGGGGAGTGGGCGGTGACAATCCGGAGACCCAGCATGACCACTCCTTGGTCCAATGGGGAAATCCATGGTCCCACAGTGGCCCCAGGTAGAGACTGGGCATGGCCCTAGGGGAGAGGCCCCACCCATCAAGCACAAAGGCTGGTGCAACCTAGAAGTAGATGTGCCATGGCTGGGCAAGCAAACTGCCTGCTTTCTTAAACGCACATAACTCTGCTGTGGCCCAAGGTGGCAAATGAGATCCACCAGGACCAGATGGCAGTGGAGCTGCAAGTCTGGGTGAACAAGCTCCTGACTGCCTCGAAAGCCCATAACACTGCTGCAGTCCCTAAGTGGGTAGTGTGTC